CATCCTCCCCACTAACCTCCAACCCCAAGGACTTCCCCAATGCCACAATGGATTCCTCAACTGGCATAGGATTCCCAGAGTTAGCCTCAGACCCTTCAAAATCCCTTTGGTCTACACATTCTGGCCACAGTTTTTTCCAAGCAAAGTTCAATGTCCTCTTAGTCACTCCCTCCCAAGCCTTACCTATAAGGTTTACACAATTGAGGATATTAAAGTGATCCTTCCAAAACTCTTTTAGAGTCAATAGAGTATCTGTGGTCACTTCAAAGCACCTTTCAAACAGCTTTTGTGTACAGTTTCTTGAAGTTGGAAATGACCTGCTGGTCCATGGGCTGCAGGAGAGAAGTGGTATTAGGAGGCAAAAACTTGACCTTAATGAAGCTCATGTCCCCAGAAAGTCGCTCTGCCAAGTCTGTACGATGACCAGGGGCATTGTCTAATACCAGGAGGCACTTAAGGTCTAATTTCTTTTCAATTAGGTAATTTTTCACAGTGGGGGCAAATGCATGGTGTAACCAGTCATAGAAAAGGTCCCTAGTGACCCATGCCTTACTGTTTGTCCTCTACAGCACACACAAATTTGCCTTGAGGACATTCTTTTGCCTGAACACTCTGGGAGTTTCTGAGTGATACACCAATAAAGGCTTCACTTTGCAATCACCACTAGCATTGGCACACATCAGAAGAGTAATCCTGTCTTTCATAGGCTTATGTCCTGGGAGTGCCTGTTCCTCCTGAGTAATGTAGGTCCTGCTTGGCAATTTCTTCCAAAACAGGCCTGTTTCGTCACAATTACACACGTGTTCAGGTTTCAATTCTTCCCTGTCTATGTAATCCTTGAATTCCTTCACATATTTTTCAGCTGCTTTTTGGTCCGAACTGGCAGCCTCACCATGCCTAATCACACTATGTATGCCACTACGATTCTTAAATCTTTCAAACCAACCTTTGCTGGCCTTAAATTCACTCGCATCACCACTAGTTGCAGGCATTTTTTCAATTATATCCTTATGCAACTTCCTAGCCTTTTCACAAATGATTGCTTGAGAGATGTTATCTCCTGCTATCTGTTTTTCATTTATCCACACCAATAACAGTCTCTCAACATCTTCTAACACTTGCGGTCGCTGTTTCGTAATCACAGTTGCACCTTTTGCAACAACAGCTTCCTTGATTGTCACTTTCCTGGTCACTATAGTAGAGATGGTTGATTGGGGTTTGTTATACAACCTGGCCAGCTCCGACACACGCACTCCACTTTCGTACTTTGCAATTATCTCTTTCTTCATTTCAATAGTCATTAGCACCCTTTTTCTAGAAGGGTTGGCACTAGAAGCTTTCTTGGGGTCCATGGTGACTTATTTTGCAGAAACAAGCACCAAAAACACTAATAATATGGAATGTACCAAATGTATCCTTAGATGCGAGCACACTGGCTGGCTTGTAAACACTGGCACACACGGGGCAGTTCAGGCCACACGTGGACACGTCTCGGACGAATCACGTATACCGGGTTTTTTAACAGGAACCGAGGCAAAATTTTTGCTTTAGAATGTATCGCATACTGGATTTATCAGATACCGATGGTATCGCGAACCGAGGGTCTACTGTACTGAATAACTACAACCATCTCTACACCATCCCTGCTCTTTATCGAGAGTGATCAACATTTTCAGAGTGAGAAATGCAGAGTATTATCCAGGATACAAATGGCTAAAATCTGCAATATCAAGGCCTCCATCAAACAGTAAATAGCTTTACCATTGTATTGTGAAAACATTTAATTTTTAATAAAGACAGTCAAGAAAAGTGGTTTTTGAATAAAGCAAAACATTGCTTGGGAGTGGGAGCATGTGGGTTCTTGAAGCCCATATAGTTTTTCAACTATATGCCTGGATAAAAATTTTTGACCAGCTATCCTAACCAATAGTAAATATTTAATAAATAATTATGGAATTAGTTTAATGTTGTTGGAAAGTTTGTATGTAAAAACCTGACTTATTAGTGCAGTAGATAACATCAATTATAAAAAGCAATTTAAATTTTCTACTCTGTCTTCCCTGAAACACTACTCGTCTAAAGGGTGTTTCAAGGTTACAATCATTTATTTTTTATGTTGAAATTTAAAAAAAAAACAAGAATTATTTGAACATGTACTTTAACCCTTTCAGGGCCCAGAGGCCAAGTTTCAAAGTGCACACCAGTGTCCAAGAATTTTCAAAAAATAATTTTGTTATTTTTTATTATGAAATGGAAAAGAATCTTTTTCTGAAGGTAATAAAACAAAAAGTACATAATTTGATGGAAAATTGCCGAAATTATGCTCCTGTGAATTTTGGTGTGTCAGCGACACTTACGCATCGGTGATTTTGCTGACTGACTCCCATTTTAGGCCAATTACCTTATTCCAGTCAACCAAATTCTTAGCTATTTCACTAGTATTACTTCTGTTCTATCGATTAAGCACAAGAAATTGCCAACTCCACTGTTTCAACTACAAAATAAAGTGATTGGAAACTGGTAATTTGGCCAATTTAGTGCAAAGTTCAAAATATTCCAATTTCAAAATAGGGTCCAGAATAAACAATGCAGACATTCCTGGCACTAAACTAACATTTCCTCTGTTCATTAGTTACATTTTCAGGCTTTACAAATGAATTTCATTTTGATTTTTAATTCATATAATGAATTTTTATTCAAACCAAAAAATAGAAGATTTACTGTCATACAATATTGTAATAATTGTATAAATAATATCAGCACATTTGTGAATGTATATTAGACCCACCAGCTGGCGTGTATTAGACGTGTGAGGTCATTTGTTTACTCTTGAACTTCGGCAAAAATTTAACATTTCCGCTAATTTGAGCTCAGTTCCAAGACATTTTCAGTACTAAAACCAATCAAAATCATCTCTATTTCTGTAATACATCTTCCATTCTATCAAATGAGACCAAGAAACTGCAAATACAACTATAAAAAACATACAAAAAAAACACTGCAAAGTTGCTGTTTTAATCGAAAATTACGGTCTCAGTTTTTTCTCTCGTTATGCGCTTAAGTGCTGCAGGATTTGTTTTATGTGGTGCACACATACCACATAGATGTATTCTCTCATATCTAGGCCCAAATTTACTGCTCGCAGCTTATCAGAGTGAGCTGAGCTCATGGCGTAGATCTACGGTTTGGACCCTCAATGTAAAGCCGTAGATCTACAGCACGGACCCTGAAAGGGTTAAACTGAATATAAAATGCATTGAAGTTAATGCAATAGATATGTACTGTTACAGCCATTAAAACTTTGGTAATTAGCTCCATTATCCAAAGGATTGGAGTTAGCATTTACTTGTTAAGTACAATGCATCAGCCTGGCCATTTGTATTTTTTTGCCACCATACACAGGGAAAAAATGTTACTAACCAAGATTTGTATTGAAGATCTGGTTCATAAAAATGTCAAATGATGTTATCTAGAATTCTGCTTACTAGGTGACTAGATAAAACAATGAAGTGAAAGGTACTTGTATCAATAAGTTAGCAACACTTGGGAAGTGTTTTGAGTGTTAAATAACCCCCCCCCCCACCGACTGGGCAGCCCATCATACTCCCCTCCACTCTAAATTTCACAACACAATTTTCCTTACTGAAATCTGTAGGAAAAAACTGTTCCACTGCCAATCCAGTATACAACTATTTTAAGTAGAAACATAAAATGCTAAAAATAAGGAAATTTGATAATGTATTGAACTACTGAAAAAGTTATTTGAAACTGGAATGTAGAACTTTTTTTCCCTCATTTTTGCACAGGACACGAAACCAAGCAACCCATAATGGAAATCATAATGTAAAATGTGTGGACAGTTGAAATTATATAATTAAGTTGCAAATATAAAGCAGTAACCAAGATAGAAAAAGGTACAGTATAACCTAAGATATTAGTTTTGTTGCTAATTTGTAAAAATGCAAGTGAAAAGAAATAAGAATTAAATACCATGTAGAGGTTCAGAAATAATAATAATAATAATGAAGCTGGTTACACATGCAAATCAATTTAAGGAAAGTATTACACATCATAAAAAATACAACATGGCTCTAGGCATTCTTTAAAGAGTGAATACCATATTACTTTCTGTTAAATCACTGTACATACATTAATTTTTAAAAATCAGTTTACAGGGCTAGGCTTTAAAAATTTTGATCAAGCATCATTTTAACTGCTAATACTGCCCATAAGTTATTGTAGATATCCAAATTACTGCATTGACATTCCCTAACTGTTAACACATTCCAACAGTATTCATTATCCTCAGATCTGATTACCAGGCTATATAATTCTTTTAGCACTTTCATTAATGTGATCACACATCCTAAGTATACTGTGTCATAGTTGTGTCCGTGTCCTGGCATGACTTACCGAAGTCTTCGTCGGTCTGCAGTGCCTGCTGGAGAAGTTTGAAGGAATATCCCTGGACAACATTCTTGTCAGGGGATAAGAGGCTGGATACCTCACCTTCATTTTCCTGAGCAGGGCTTTTGTCCATTTCCTGCACCATCCGCAGAACATCTGAAGTCTTGCCATCATAAGCTCGTTCGTTCTTCTTAAAGTTGACACTTATAGGTCAGCATCAATAGTAGAGATTGAAGTGAGGTGGTGGTAGTGGTGATGGAGCAGGCAGAAGGGAGAAAGAGGGAAGGGAGAAATCAGGAGATTCATGCGGTAAAAATTATAGTAGACACACACACAGTCACACATCACACCCATAATTGCAGGTAATTCCTTAACCAAGAAGCATCGCAAAACCCTTCTTGCTGTTGTTGGCACCGTTTGTATGTTTAAAGGCTTGTGGGGAGTGTAGAAACATGCAGGGCACTCCACTAGGCACACCAGCACCACGATGCGGCACAAAAGATGGAATCGAGCCACCGCCAGGGGAAAAATAAACACGACAGTGACTGGTGACTGGGCAAAGGTGTGTAGGAGCAATGGGGGTGGCAGGTCACCTGACTGTCCTCCCTGTTGAGGAGACTGTGCTGGTGCTGCTGGTGCTGGCTTTGATGCAGGCTTCGGTCGGGGGAAGAGCGGGGCAGGGGGCGGGGCCTCCTTGTCGAAAGGAGAGACGGGTGGGGGACGAGATTTCTTCGGAGTATCTTCCCCATCTCCATGAATAAGTTTGTACGTGGGGGACTCTGTTTGGATTACAGTCTCCCGTGCAAACTTCTTGAAGTTGATGCTGCACCAGTGTCCAACCAGCGCATCACAATACACATACAAACACACACACAATGATCAGTACAAAGTTACTTAATTATTTAACGATCATTTAAATACAAAGTACTATATTTTTCTATTGAAATAAAAAATATATACCAAAGTTGTACTATATTCCACTATATAATTATTAACCGAACTTCATTTGTGTTTAGATATATTGTTGCAGGTAATTCCTCAAAGATTTTATTTGTTACTGAAGCTAATTTTTCAGTGGAATGTGTCTACGGGTAACTATTCTCAATACAAGACAATTGTAAGGAGCATAATGTCATTCTTCCTTAGTGATACATTACAATAGTTCCACAATAACTGTTTGACCTAATTCAATTATGCTATTATTGTACGTATGTATTGTATTCTGAAGTTATTCATGAAGAGGTAAGATACAACATTCCTTATATTCTGAAAAACTTGTCTTACCAAATGTATAGTAATTTGATAAATCTTACAATATTTTCACAACATGCCTTTAAATCACAAAATACACAATCTTTCAGTAATACGTAAATTTAATAGTACAGTAGACCGTCGGTTAACATGCAATAAGTTAACACTTTTGCGTTACGTGGTTGCAAGATTAGGGCATATTTTCAGTAAACACACCGTATTAACCAGTTTACACGGAGTATGAGTAGAGGAAAATTTGGCATGTGCCGAGTTCTTTCCCCTCAGTCTCTCAGCGAGTCTACAAGCAACACCACTGTATTACAAGGAAGGCCTACATATGCACACAACCTCTCACTTCAGGCGCTCTGTTCATATACGTCCAATACCATATTACTCGGCCTGTGTTAGTGAATCAATCTTATTATCTTTTCATCATCCCTTCTGTACAATACAATTTTATTTCTTTGCAAGTTTACATTGAGATTCTGAAATTACAATAATGAGTTGCAGTGCAAAGAGCCACTATTATGCTATGGCATTATGGGCAGACTAAATTAATGGCTTACAGACTACTTAATACTAGAGAAATTGATTATAGTAAGTTACAGTCAAGTTACAATCAAGTTATAATCTGGGGTTATTACATTAGGACAATCTGGAGAGTATTTTGTAGGCTGTGTATATCAATAGTAAATATTTAAGTTATAATATTGGAATATAATATTGAGCATTGGTGAAAGTAGTTTACAGTATGAGAAGGCATAAGGCAGTATAGTTTTGTGCAGGTATTTGTTCTTCAGTGTAGTATTATGTATGAACTTTGGGTATTTAAATTTTAAAATGTTAAGATTTAGGAAATTGGGAGTTTTTTTTGTAAATTTAAGTACTATTGAGTAGTGTATATTTAGTTTAGGGCGAGTAGATGGTTTTTGAGAAGAGTCTTAAATTGATGTTCAGACTGGGTTACTTTAGTATTTACTGGTAACGAGTTCCAAATTTTGTGGCCCTTAATGTGCATAGAGTTCTTATATAGTGTGATGTGGACGTGGGGTACATCAAAAAGTGATGTGTCCTATGTTATGGTCGTGCGTCCTATTTAGGTTGGCGAGAAGTTTGAGTGAAGGGTTTATGTTCGAGTGTAGTGTTCTATGTATGTAGTAGGCGCAAGAATAAGTATGGATGTTCTTTACGGTGAGTAGTTTTAGACCTTTGAATATTGGTAGAGTATGCTGTCTGAAGTGTGAATTTGTCATCATTCTGACTGCAGCCTTTTGCTGGGTTATTAGTGGTCTTAAGTGATTTGTTGTTGTTGATCCCCATGCACAAATTCCATAGGCAAGATAAGGGTATACGAGTGAGTAATACAGTGGAAGGAGAGCTGATTGTGGAACACAGTACCGTATCTTTGATAGTATGTCTACTGTCTTAAGAGATTTTCTTGGATACTGGTTGTATATGGGTCTGGAATTTAAGGCTACTGTCAAGGTGGATTCCTAAGAATTTTCCCTCTGAGTCTTGTGATGGGTGATCCGTTTAGTGCTATGTTAAGTGGAACATTTGTGGCTCTGTTACCAAACTGAATGAAATACGTTTTGTCAGTATTGAGTGTAAGCTTGTTAGTCATCATCCAAGTAGATATTTTCTGCAATTCAACATTAACAGTGTTGGCCAGTATGACTGGGTTTGGGTGAGAGAAGACATATGTTGTGTCATCTGCAAATAATATGGTTTTGAGTAGTTGAGATGTACTCAGTAGGTCATTGATGTAAATGAGAAAGAGGAGAGGGCCAAGGATACTTCCTTGTGGGATCCCAACTGTAATTGGTTGTGTGGAAGAGTTAGCTTCATTTGTGTACACATACTGGCTTCTGTTACTAAGGTATGACTTTAGGTTGTCTCTAGCTCATAACCATGAAACCCAAAAGGAAAGAGTGATCCTGGAAAAGCAAAGAAGCACAAACGTGAAAGTCTTTGTGTTGAAAATTAAAATTTTGGATGAGTTTAACGCTTTCACTGTCCAGACCCCTTAAACTAATATTGCTCTCAAGTGTCCACTTTAAAAAAAACTTCTGAAATGGTAGAGAATCTTTATAAAGGTAATGACACCAAAAGTACGAAACTTGATGGAAAACTTACAGAATTTTGCAAGCACAAAGTTAGTGGTCTCGGTACAATTTACGAAGCAATTTTGCCCAGAGTCCTATTTTAAGCATATTCCATTACTTCATTTGACCAAATTCTTAGCTATTTGGCTAATATGCCTTCTCTTCTGTCGACTGAGCACAAGAAGCTGCCTGTTCAACTACCCTATAAAGTATACAGAAGTTGATAATTTAGCCAATTTTACACAAAATTAAAAATATCCATTAAAAAAAAAGAGGATGAACACTGTAGACATTCCCGACACTAAAACATTTCCTCTGTTCATCAGTCACATCCCCAGGCCTCTTCTATATTACACCTGCCTTTCAATTTGAATTTTTATTCACATAAAAACAGAAAATTTACTCTTTCTCATAAATAAAATAAAACCAGGAAAGATTGGTCATGTTTTACAGTGTCTGAATGCTTTAATCAGACTTATAAACCCATAAAATAGACAGGGACTGTAGGCGAGGGAACCTTGCCTATCCTCTGGAATACTGGAAAAAATCTAACATTTCTGCTATTTTGAGCTCAAATTCAGACTACTTCTCATCCTGAAACCAATCAAAATTATCTCTGTTTCAGTAGTATGTCTTCTATTCTATCAAATGATACAAAGAAACAGCCAATAAAACCACAAAAGTCATCCAAGAAAACCCCTCAAAGTTGCTATTGTAAACCATACACATGGTCAGTTTTGATTATACCATTATATTGAGTTTCCCATTATACTCTGCACACTCATCACACAGACCCATTCTCTCACATCTAGGCCAAAATTTACCACTCACAACATATGTGAGTTCAAGACATAGGACTACATCAGGGACCCTGGCCTCAATGACGTAGTTGTACATGACGGACAGTGAAAAGGGTAAGAGTGGTACAAAGGATCACTTCATCTTGTTACTTTGTGGTAATGCATCATGATTTTAAGAATAAGCCAATGGCTATATACCACTCCAAGACTCCCTGTGCTTTGAAAAGTACAGATATAACCACCTTATTAATTATATTTGGAGGTAAAAACAAGTCACAGCATGGATGACAGGAATCATTTGACTGGTTTAAGCATCACTTTATTCCCAAAAGTCATGCTTTACCTGCACAGTGAGAACCTTGTATTCAAGGTTCACTTCACTCTTGATAATTCCCATACTCATCCAGAAGTTTTGGTGTAAGTGCATCCACATGTAAAAGTTGTGTTTTTACCACCACATACAGCAGCTTTAATATAACCATTGGATTGAGGAATTATTAGGACATTTAAGTGTAACTACACACTAAAAGTGATGCAGAAACTTTTTGTAGCATTAGACGCTGATTGAGCTTATAGTGCCAGACTTTTGGTGTAAATTTGATAATGTAGATATTTTTAGCTATATCAGAAGGGACCCTGATGCCAGGGTCCCTTCTGATATAGCCAGGGTCCCTTCTGATATAGTCAGGGTCCCTTACACAGAGCTATGTTTTGAGCTCAGTTCCCTCATAAGCTGCGAGCAGAAAATTTTGACCTAGATATGAATGGGTCTGTGTAGTGTGTGCGCACAGTATTAAAAAAATCTGAGCTTTTATTTGGTTTAAAATAACAACTTTGAGGTGTTTTCTAGGATGGTTTTTATGGTTTTATTGGTGGTTTCTTGGTTTCATTTGATAGAATGGAATACAGCCTCTCCTCACTTAATGACGGAGTTTTGTTCCTAAGATCACGTCGGTAAATGAATTCGTCACTAAGTGAGGAGCTTACTATAATGGCAGTGGGTTTATGTCAACCATCATTAATATTGTTTTAATGTCACCTTTGCACCATTTATAATATTTCTGGTATATTTTTAAATGTTTACACAGTAGTGTACTGTATATTGTAATAAAAAGAATAGAGGAAATCAGCTCTAATATACACTATATAGGTATGCATACTGGTCAGAGAGCCCATCGTACGTCCGAGTCATCGGTAAACAAGTACGTCGCTAAGTGAGGAGAGGCTGTATATAATACTGAAACAGACTTTGATTGGTACCAGGATGAAGTAGCTTGAAATTAGGCTCAAATTAATGGAAACATTAGACTTTTGCCATTTTTCTAGAAGACAGATATGGCACCCCCTACAACCCCCAGCCTGTTTTATGGGTTTTTACTAAGTCTGATTCAATTGCTGGATGCCATAACCCATGACCAAATATTTCTCGTTATATTTTATCCAAAAAATTGGGTAAATATTCAATTTTTTTGTGATGAATTCAATATGGAATGCAAGTGTAATATAGGAGAGGCCTGGGGACATTATTAATGAACAGAGAAAATGTTTAGTGTCTGGAATGTCTACATTGTTTAAGACTGCTTTTAAATTGGCAATTTTGAATTGTGTAAAATTGGCCAAATTACCAACTTGGATATTTTATAGGGTACTTTTAATTGTTAAATGGGCAGTTTCTCATGCTCAGTTGATAGAACAGAAGGCAAACTAGTCAAACTGAGAAATGGCATTGCCTTAAAATAATAGTGGGCGAAATAACCGATACATAAATTGCACCCAGATTGCTAACTTTGCACCTGCATAATTCCTTAAGTGTTCCATCAAATTTTATGCTTTTGATATTACCTTCAGAAAAAGATGCCCTTCCATTTCAGAACAATCTTTTTATTAAATGTGGACACAGAGCAGTTTTAATTTTGGGAGTCTTGACAACGAGGGGTTAAAGCTGGCTGAGGAAAGTTGTGACCCAGTGCGATGAGTACTTCTACAGGGCTTTTCCTGAGTTGGGGGCTAAGACCAGGAAATTATTCAGCTGGCAAGACTGCCAGGTAAGGGCAAGACATGCAGGAGGATGTGAATAAACTGTTAGAAGCTTAAGAAAAATCCAGAGGAAGTGCTGACAGAGCTCAATGCCCAGATACATGGGAGACAGATAAAGACGGGGAAGAAGAACTGAAAGAAAAAGTTAATATTGCAATTTGTACTTATGTGAACAGTTCAGTAGTATTGTTAAAGCTGCAGCCTTTTCACTAAAAGATGCCCCTGACAAATCTAGAAGCACTGCTCTGAAACAGGACCTGGAGCAGCTGACAGCACTTTACAATTAGCTGTATATATAGGGTACTACAGGGTAAAACAGACTTCAGGTACATTACAAAATTCCTCGGTACTCAGTACAATCATCGACATAAGTGCAAGAACCTCAGCCAACAATCCATGACCTTTCACATCAGCCTAGTAGAGGTACGCCATACCTCTCCACTTCTTTTAAAAATCATTACACACTAGCAACCAGTATTTGCAGTAAGAAATATTTATGTAACTTTTAGAGCTATAAGTATTGTATTAACAATAACTCATCACTACAGAGACCTACAAATACATTTAATCATTGGGTTTTACAACTTTGAGGCCTAAAAAAAATTGGCTCTGTTTTGGGAGTCTAAGGAACAAAACCATAGTTTCCTCACATGTTCTTCAGTTCCTTTTAAAAGATTTTTTTATTACAAGCAGTTTTCAAAACACAACTACAGTGTTAACCGATGGTCAGCTGTATACTACACTAGAAGAAAACTTCAAATATTGTATATTGCTACTTTCTTATTGAGTAAAGTACAGAAATTTGGCAACAGTTATGACGTACAAAACTTCGAAGAAGAAAAAAAAAAAAACACTGAAATCAAGATCACCTGCAACAGAACCACCCCATAATGTGCAACCCTCTACATGTAGTTGATGAAGACTTACCCAAGACATCCCTTCCCAAGCACCTCGGCCTGGGCATAGAGCGTCTCTGCAATGTTGTCGTCACTGTACAACTTCAGGGGCGTGTTGTACTGGGTGTTCACGATCTGCTGCCCGTTCACCTGCCAGAGAGGTAATATTAGTGCTAGCCAGCATGATAGGTCACCCAAGATGTTGGTGATAAATGGAGATAGTGCCAGGCAGACGTTGATAAATAGGGACAGTGCCAGTCAGATATGGGTGAGGGCTAGGAGACAGTGCCAGGCAGATGTGGGTGAGGGCTGGGAGACAGCACCACAAATGTGCAGAAAGGGGTGGTTGTTGACAATTTTGCTGGGCAGGTGTGGGTGGGTACAGAAGTGCTGGGAAGGCATAGCGATAGTTGTCTTTTCAGTGCCTGGCAGATCTAGGGGAATAAATGGTATAAAATATCAACACAATGGAAATATAAACAAATATGCAGTACAACGTAATCCTTTACTGACAACGTTTCACCCACACACTGGGCTTTATCAAGTCACAAACAGATATGTTTGTGACTTGATAAAGCCCACTGTGTGGGTGAAACGTTGTCAATAAAGGATCACATTATACTGCATGTGTGTTTATATTTCCATTCTAGATCTAGGGAAAAGAAGATAGCACAGGGCAGACATGGGTGAAGGCAATAGGACAGTATTGGGTAGATATGGGTAGGGGTGATGGGGCAGTGCTAGGAAGGTGTGGGTGGGAGTATCTGGATAGAATTTAGAGAGCACTGAAACCAGGGAGAATAAATCAGTGTTGTGGAGAGAAGAGCTATCACACCCTCATACACATTACACCCTCACCTCACAAATACAACAGTGAAAGAAACCAAGTTAAACACGTCTATACAGGAACATTCAAGCAAATTCATTCACATTCAGTTATAAAATCTGTAACATGTACTGACACTACAGAGGTTCACCTAAGAAAATAACAATTTTCTACAGACACCTAGGCATTAAAAAAGCCATGCCCCTTTTTAAAATGACCAAAGACAGGAGAGCATTATATAAGTATGCCAATCAGCACCACTCCACAAACTGCACAAAGAAGAGCAGATTTCCCCACTAGCAAGTGATATTTCATGAGTGTTAAGCCTATCCTCAGCTGAACCACCTCAGTGATGATTCCTGTTGAACAAAGATGACCAAAAACCTATGTTCTTATAAACCCTGTGTATTTTTTTTTTTACTTGCTATATTTACAAGACCCTTCTGATTTTTAGTAATCTATACAGAAGAATGGGTTGCTAAACTGTCATATCTATGTGCCTCTGGCAAGACAGTGACAGTGTAAATGATGGTGAAAGTGTTTCTTTTTCGGGTCACCCTGCCTCGATGGGAGAAGGCCAGTGTTATAAAAAAAAAAAATGCAAAACCCTTCAGTCCTGTCACTTCCCCCCCCCAGTAACAATTATATATATACCAGGTAGTGATGGAACAGTGATGGACAGATGCAGGGGTGATGGAACAGTGATGGGCAGGTGCAGGGTGCAGGGAAAGGGGATGTGAACAAGTGGGAGGTGCAGGTGTGGAGTGATGGGAAGGAGTGATGGACAGATGAGGGGTGATGGAACAGTGATGGGATCAGGTGCAGGGGGCAATGGAACAGCGATGGGCAGGTTCAGAGGCGATAGAACAGTGATGGGCAGGTGTGGAGGTGATGGAACAGTAATGGGCAGGTGTTGGGGCACTGGAACAGTACTGGACAGGAGTGGAGATGACAGGATAGTGCCAGGCAAGTGCAACAGGGTAACACTGGACAGGTGAAAGAGTACCAAGACAGTACCAGGCTGGTGTTTGGGCAATAGTAGTGCTGGGCAAGCATTTTTTTTTTTTTATCACACTAGCCGATTTCCACCAAGGCAGGGTGGCCCGAGAAAGAAAAACTTTCACCATCATTCACTCCATCACTGTCTTGCCAGAAGGGTGCAAGCATGGCCAATTATAAAGTGCTGGCAGATGGATGGATGTGTGTGTGTGTGTGGGGGGGGGGGGGGGGGGGGAAGACTAGTCACAGGACAATGTCAGGGTGAAGATGACTGTCAGGCGGCAAATGTGGGGGTGATAAAAAATTTCCTAGGTTATACAAGACTTTTTAACAATAAAAAAAATTTCAATGCGGGGCCTATCATGGTTTAGGCATAATTATTTTTTATAATTAAAGGGGGGAAGCGAAAAACCCGGGGGGATTTACGGCACCGGGGGGGGGGGGATTTTGGGGGGGGCATTCGGGCTTAAATTCGGGGAACTGGGGGCACAGACCCAAATTTCCCAAAATAAAGGGCCCCCTTCAAAAACCTTAAAGGGAAACCCTTCCTTGAGGGGGGGTGGGCAAAACCCCTTTGGGTACAAAACCCAAAAGGCTAGAGTAAAGACCTTTCTCTTATTGAATAAAAAAGGGTTACCTTTTATGATTAGTTTGGAAGCATTGGTAAATTTTATTTTTTGGAAAAAATGTAATGGCAACAGTGATCGGGACACTTCATTACCATAGGTTTGGCAGGACAACCATTTGAGGGAAAATAAATTGTCTGGGGGAAACTTTTGGGGGTAATTGAGAAATTTTTGAAATCGACTAAAAGGGGGGCCAAAAAACCCTACACAAAACCATCAAGGATTTAAAATTATTTTTTCACCCCTCACCCTTTTGATACCCCAGAAAAAGAAAAATCTTGTTTTTTCGGCTATGTAAAAGTAAGAGTTAGAATTTATGTACATATGCTTAGGAAACAGTTTTTTTTTTTTTGGGTTTTAAATCGGTTTGGGGAAAAAAATTTATTTTTCCCAAAATTATTTAAAAGGAAAAGATATGTATGGTATTATTTTAAAAGTATTTAGTACTTGTCCCCCTTTTAAAAACAAGGGGAAAAAGGCCCAAAAGGAAGATAAAGGGTTCAACCCCAAATTAAAAAGGGTTTTGGGGGGGCCCAAAACAATAAAGTTGTTCAAAAAAAAAAAATAAAAATTTTGACTCTACGTTAATCCTAAAAACCACTTTTTTGGTGGGATTTTTTTTTTTAATTTTTAAAAATGTGGAAACTTTCAAGGAAAATATTTAGTTTATATTTAAAAATAAGATTTTAACAAAATTTTTAAAAAAAACCCAAAATTAAAAAAAAAAGTTTTATTAAGTCCCTAATTTTTTTTAAACCATGCGATTAAATTTAAATTTTTTGACTTAAAAGTCTAGAATTTGGGTCTAACTTGTGACTGTTATGGTTTTAAAAAATCCCCAATTTTTCATGCAGGGGTGTAACTACATGCTGACCAAGTGTACACACCGCCCCAATATTTTACAGTCAACAAAGGGGAAACTCTCGGGTTTACTCAGAATTGTTGGGGGATGCTGTCAGTCCTAAAATTACTTTACACAATTTTGCAATTACCAAAATATTCTGCCCCTAGCACTCCAAACTTTCATGTCCAAAAAAATTTTTTACGTGCATCCTCTCACTTGCCCCACTGCAATAAGGTAAAAAATAGAAACTTATTAAAATAATTTACCAAAAAAAATTTTTGTCTAGGATAAAAATATTTGAGAGGGGGCACAAATAACCCCAAAAAAATTTAATTTTTAGCAGATTCAGGTAATTAAAAAAGGTTTGGGTCATGCACTAAAATAGGCATCATGAGGCTCAAACCCTCAACACAAGACAAACCCGAGGGGAAACCTTCACCCCCTGCGAAGGGAAGAGCGACCGTGTTTTTGTGGGATCCTACTGGAGCAACATACTGTAAAAGGTAGTAATTACATACATCATCTGCACCAGGTTTGTTTCATACATAAAAATTTTGGGTAATTTGGGTTTTAAAACTGCAAGGGGTTTCTCACAGCATGGCCTGTTTCGTGCGTGCACAAAAAAAAAGGGAAGCCCACAAAAAGGGGTTTGTTACAATTTTTTTGAGAAACCCCCCTGGGGGTTCACACAATGCCTTTTTAATTTGTAATAAAATTATTTTATTTTATAAAAATTTAATTTTTTAAATTAAACCCGGTCTTTTTGGGGGAAGAACAATAAAGCTTAAGCATTTAAAACATAAAAAAAAAAAAATATTAGAGGGGTGCCAACTTTAAAAAAAACACACTTGGGGCCCGGGGAAAAATGGCAAGAGGCAATTACTGTATATTATCCAATTACAGTAAGATGTTTTTTGTATGAGGGGAAAAAAAAGGTTTAAAACTTTTTTAAAATGTAAAAACTTAAGTGGGGGGGGGGGGATGGATGCATCTTTTAGCCCGCTATGAAACAATTTGAACACTAACTACTTATTTAAAAAAACTTATTAAAAATGAAGAGTGCAAAAATAATTTTTTAGAAAAAATTTATGTACACTGTGGGAAAGTTAGAAAGTCTTTTACTGTGTTACAGTTTTGATTGTTGATAAAAGTAATGATAAAAATTGTGTTTTGGACAATAAAAACTAGAAGAGTTAAAAACCCTAAAAGAGAATCAATTTAATTTTTTAGTACCAGGTTTGGTTTTAAAATTCCCCCACTAGACCATTTTCAAGTATTGATAAAGTGCAAACAAACTAAAAAAATTGTTTTAGTGTTCATTTTTAAAAGAGTTAGTTGTGAATGATTCGCCATGATATTGCAGCCTACTTTTTGGGGGTCACAAATAAATCTTTAGTAAGAGGGCCCCAAAGGGCTTTTTGGTTTCAGCTGCTCTGAAAAAAGCAGGGATGCCCTTTACCTTTTAAAGAAAATAAAAAAAATTTTATTTAAAGCAAACAGTATTCCTTTCTAAATTTTTGCAGATAGGATAACCAAGTTTTTGCTCAGGGTAAAATCTCTAAAACAGATAGCATAGGGGTTTCATTTTACCATATGAATTTTTAATTCAAAAATTTATTTTTAATAAATAAAAGATGAACTTTCCCTCCAAAAAATCAGAAAAAAGCCCAAAAAAATTAAAAATTTTTTTTTTAACAAAGGAAAAAAATTTTTACCAGCAAAAACCTAAAATTCCTGCTAAGTAAGGGATTACTTTACTGGTTTTGGGCCATCCTACCCGCTTTGGGCCCATCCCCAAATATGAAACCCATTATTGCAAATCTTTAAAACCCCGAAACAAAGCGCATACCCCCACCACTAATTTACATGAAAGCTTCCTCGTGTGTTACCTCCAATAATTACAGCATTGCTCAATATATAAATTGAAGCCAAAATTTTCTCTAGCATACTTAAACTAGCAAGTTACACAATTTACAGAAGTGGTGACCCAACAGAAGCCAATAATTGCAGGATAATTTCAAACTTGCCCTGTCTAAAATCTTTATAAAATAATTAGTAAACAAATATACGGCTTCATAACCAAATGCAATATCCTTAACATCGTGTCAGATTGGTTTCAGACCAAGATAAAGTACAGTACCAATTTTTTTTTTTTTTTTTTTCCAACAAGTCGGCCGTCTCCCACCGAGGCAGGATGACCCAAAAAAGAAAGAAAATCCCCAAAAAGAAAATACTTTCATCATTCAACACTTTCACCACGCTCGCACATTATCACTGTTTTTGCAGAGGTGCTCAGAATACAACAGTTTAGAAGCATACACATATAAAGATACACAACATATCCCTCCAAACTGCCAATATCCCAAACCTCTCCTTTAAAGTGCAGGAATTGTACTTCCCATTCCCAGGACTCAAGTCCGACTATATGAAAATAACCGGTTTCCCTGAATCCCTTCACTAAATATTACCCTGCTCACACTCCAACAGATCGTCAGGTCCCAAGTACCATTCGTCTCCATTCACTCCTATCTAACACGCTCACGCACGCTTGCTGGAAGTCCAAGCCCCTTGCCCACAAAACCTCCTTTACCCTCTCTCTCCAACCCTTTCGAGGACGACCCCTACCCCGCTTCCTTCCCCTATAGATTTATATGCTTCCATGTCATTTCTACTTTGATCCATTCTCTCTAAATGACCAAACCACCTCAACAACCCCTCTTCTGCCCTCTGACTAATGCTTTTATTAACTCCACACCTTCTCCTAATTTCCACACTCTGAATTTTCTGCATAATATTTACACCACACATTGCCCTTAACCCTTTGAGGGTCGACAGGCCCTCTCCGAAACTCGTTCTCAGGGTCGGCCAAATTTAAAAAAAAAAAAAATTATTTTCTCTTATGAAAAGATAGAGAATCTTTTCCGATCATAAAGACACCAAAAGTTTGAAATTTGATAGAAAACTTACGGAATTATGCTCTCGCAAAGTTAGCGGTCTCAGCGATGTTTACGCATCGGCGATTTTGCCCACTTTGAGCCCCATTTTCGGCCAATTTCACTGTACTAGTCGACAAAAAACATGAATATTTCGCTAGAACTCCATTTTTTCTATCGAATGGGTGCAAGAAAACCACCCATTTATGAAACTCAACTATCCAGTACAGTGGTCAGAATTTAGCAATTTTGCCAATTCACACAAATTTCAAAAGATGCCAATTTCCGAATAGGGTCCAGAATAAACAAGAAACACATTCCTGGCACTAAAAATGACATTTCCTCTAGTCATTAGTCACGTCTCAAGGCCCTCTTATATTCTTTTGCTTTCCACTTTGAATTTTATTTTCACAAAAATATAAGATTTACTGTTATGCAGACTACTGCATTAGTGTAAAAAATGGTATAAATATTATTGGTGCACTTGTGAAAGAATATTAGACTCACCAGTTGACGTGTATTGCACGCTTGGCACGATTTGTTTACTTTTGAAGTTTGGTCAAAATCGAACATTTCTGCTACTTTGAGCTCAATTTCAAGGCACCTTTCATTGTAAAACCAGTCAAAATCATCTCAATTTCTGTAATATGTCTTCCATTCTATAAATGAGACCAAGAAAACTAGAATACAACAATAAATACCATACGAAAATACACTGCAAAGTCGCTGATTTATTAAAAAAAATGGTCAAAGTTTTTTTTTTCTCATTATGCACTGTGTGCTGCAGGATTTTTTTTAGACTGTGCACACTGACCACATAGACCCATTCTTTCATATGAAGGCCTACCAGCTTTCTCCCACTAGATTTGAGGCCGCTAGAATTTATGAGTACAAGTACGTCAAAAACCCCTACGCGTAAGACGTACTAGTACGACCAAAACCCTCAAAGGGTTAAACAGGACATCTCCACTGCCTCCAACCGTCTCCTCGCTGCTGCATTTACCACCCAAGCTTCACACCCATATAAGAGTGTTGGTACTACTATACTTTCATACATTCCCTTCTTTGCCTCCATAGATAACGTTTTTTGACTCCACATGTACCTCAACGCACCACTCACCTTTTTTCCCTCATCAATTCTATGATTAACCTCATCTTTCATAACTCCATCCACCGACACGTCAACTCCCAAGTATCTGAAAATATTCACTTCTTCCATACTCCTACTCCCCAATTTGATATCCAATTTTTCTTTAACTAAATCATTTGACACCCTCATCACCTTACTCTTTTCTATGTTCACTTTCAACTTTCTACCTTTACACACATTCCCAAACTCATCCACTAACCTTTGCAATTTTTCTTTAGAATCTCCCATAAGCACAGTATCATCAGCAAAAAGTAACTGTGTCAATTCCCATTTTGAATTTGATTCCCATAATTTAATCCACACCCTCTCCGAACACCCTGGCATTTACTTCCTTTACAATCCCATCTATAAATATATTAAACAACCATGGTGACATTACACATCCCTGTCTAAGACCTACTTTTACCGGGAAGTATTCTCCCTCTCTTCTACACACCCTAACCTGAGCCTCACTATCCTCATAAAAACTCTTTACAGCATTTAATGACTTACCACCTATTCCATATACTTGCAACATCCGCCACATTGCTCCTCTATCCACTCTATCATATGCCTTTTCTAAATCCATAAATGCAATAAAAACTTTCTACCTTTATCTAAATACTGTTCACATATATGCTTCAATGTAAACACTTGATCTACACATCCCCTACCCACTCTGAAACCTCCTTGCTCATCCGCAATCCTACATTCTGTCTTACCTCTAATTCTTTCAATTATAACTCTACCGTACACTTTTCCTGGTATACTCAGTAAACTTATTCCTCTATAATTTTTACAGTCTCTTTTGTCCCCTTTCCCTTTATATAAAGGGACTATACATGCTCTCCGCCAATCCCTAGGTACCTTCCCCTCTTTCATACATTTATTAAACGAAAGTACCATTCACTCCAACACTATATCCCCCCTGCTTTTAACATTTCTGTCATGAGCCCATCAGTTCCAGCTGCTTTACCCCCTTTCATTTTACGTAATGCCTCACGTACCTCCCCCACACTTACATTCTGCTCTTCTTCACTCCTAAAAGATGGTATACCTCCCTGACCAGTGCATGAAATTACTGCCTCTGTTTCTTCCTTAACATTTAAAAGTTCCTCAAAATATTCTCGCCATCTACCCAATACCTACATCTCTCCATCTACTAACTGCCCTACTCTGTTTTTAACTGACAAATCCATACTTTCCCTAGGCTTTCTTAACTTGTTTAACTCACTCCAAAATTTTTTCTTATTTTCATTAAAATTTCTTGACAGTGCCTCTCCCACTATCATCTGCTCTCCTTTTGCACTCTCTCACCACTCTCTACCTTTCTTTTACTCTCCATATACTCTGCTCTTCTTATAACACTTCTGCTTTGTAAAAACCTCTCATAAGCTACCTTTTTCTTTTTTATCACACCCTTTACTTCATC